GGCCATCCATTTATGACTACAGCGGAGATGAGATCATCTTCGAATTGGATGAACAAGCCACAAAGAGATTGAAAGCACTAGCAATGAGACTAAACGTAAGTCTCTTTAGTCTACTTTTGAGTGCTTACACACTCATGCTGAGTATCTATACAAATCAACAAGACATCGTAATCGGGACGCCAGTTGCCAATCGCAATCAGCCAGAGCTCGAAAATCTAATCGGATTCTTCGTCAATATGCTTGTTTTGAGAATAAAAATAGATCCAAACGATTTCGCACAAGACTACATAAAGAAAGTAAGCAACGAAGTAATAACGGCGCAAAGTCATGAAGATATGCCTTTCGAACGGCTCGTCAAAGAACTACAACTCGAAAATGATACAAGTCGACATCCCATTGTACAAGTGATATTTCTGATGAACCAACCTATTGATTTCGCAGTATCATCGACTTCTAGCAACATGAAAATGCCAAGTTCTCTCACTCTCTCACAATATTTTCCCAATCGAAACGATTTTACGATAGCAAAATATGATATTACGACTTCAATTGATGATACAAAAAGTTCTCTAAAAGGGACATTTAATTTTGCGAAAAAACTTTTCCATCAAACAACGATTGAGAGTTTCATTCAAACTTTCCTTCATATTTTGACCCAATTTTCACAAATAGATCAAACACGCAAAATAGTAGATATCGAATGCATCGATTCCTTGCAGCATAATGAAATCAAACAGTTCGATAAAATACCTACGGTTTTCCAAGGCGTGCCCCATGAAACAACTTTACAAAAACTATTCGAAGAAGAAGCACAAAAGTCACCTGACAAAATTGCTGTTGTCTATGAAGATGTACAACTAACTTATCGAGAATTGAATGAAAGAGCAAACCGATTGGCACACTATTTACGATCAATATCTAACATTCATCCGGATGATCTAATAGCATTAATTTTGGATAAAAGTGAATTGATGATAATCAGCATACTTGGCGTATGGAAATCTGGTGCAGCTTATGTTCCTATGGATCCTAATTATCCGGACCAACGAATTGAACTCATTCTAAAAGATACAAAGGCAAAAGTCGTGATAGCTAACATGAAATATTTACCCAGATTGCAATCATGTGACATACTAAAAGTCGAAATTGATAGTCCACTAGTAAACCAACTAATAAATGACAATAGTATAATTTGTAATTTGGAGGTCGACACAAATGCACATAATCTAGCTTATGTGATATATACATCAGGGACAACTGGAACACCAAAAGGTGTTATGATCGAACATCGAACTGTAGTGTCGTTTTCAAGTGATGTAAAATATCGGTATTTTGGCCATACTGAAACCAATGGCATGCCTCAATCTATTATGTTTTTCTCAAATTATGTATTCGATTTTTCCATTGAGCAACTAGTACTATCTATACTCAGTTCCAATAGACTCATTATTTTACCTAGCGACTTCACGATTGATGAGCAGTTCTACGCATATTTGAATTCCAATCGACTAACGTATTTAAGTGGGACACCCACTCAGATGCAACAAATCGATTTCACAAGACTAAAATATTTAGAGACAATAACATTTAGTGGTGAGGCTTTAACTGCGATAATCTTCGCAAAAATTCGAAGCCAATCTTCTGCGAAAATAGTCAATGCTTATGGAATTACTGAAACAACTGTTTACAACATGATTTTCTGCTATCGGGATCAGATGATATATAAAAATTCTCTTGGTTCTTCCCTGTCGAATAGCAAGAGATTTGTCATTAATGAGAATATTCAGCTACTGCCAATACATGCTATAGGTGAACTCTGCTTGACAGGCGATTGTCTATCGAGAGGCTACTTGAATCGACCTGAATTGACAGCTGAACGATTTTTACCAAATCCATTTCAGACGGAGGAAGAAAAGAAAGCAGGAAAAAACACACGAATTTATAAAACAGGTGATTTGGTTCGTTGGTTACCAGGTGGTGAGTTTGAATATCTTGGCAGAGATGATTTTCAAGTAAAAATCAGAGGTTTAAGAATCGAATTAGGTGAAATCGAAGCTGTTTTATCCTCGTATCAAGGCGTGAAGCAATGTGTTGTTCTCGCGAAAGACCACAAGAAGAAGACAAAAGACGCATCCTCGAAGAAGTATCTAGTGGGATATTATGTTTCGGATAATCATATCGAAGAGTTCCAATTGAAACAACATATGCAGACAACTGTGCCCGACTATATGACACCAAATCGACTGATACAGGTTGACAAAATACCAGTGACTGTAAGCGGGAAATTGGATTTGAAAGTGTTACCAGATGTTGATTTCGTTGTTGACGAGAACAATTACTGTGCTCCTAGAAATGAACTAGAGGTGCAGCTATGCGAAATGTGGTCAGACGTACTCGGCATTGAGAAGGTTGGTATAAGAGATGATTTCTTCCGCCTTGGAGGCGATAGTATAGGCTCACTACAAATTGTAGGGAGAATAAGGCAAGAATATGACCTAATCCTATCTGTCAAAGATATTTTTACGTTCAAGACAATTGAAAAACTATACGATAACAAATTAAAAGATCAATTTATTCAGTCAACCGCTGATGATGAAAATTTCGATGTAATTGAATCGACAGACTCCATCGAGAAAGATTCTTCAAGTTCTTTATTGCCTACTCAAGAATTTTTGATAAGGCGATATATCCTGCCTGATAATCATTTTCATCAATATGCCGTCTTTAAAATAGCAAGATTCGATGGAAAGCGTTTTAGAGACAGTTTAGTCAAATTAGTTGCCCATCATGAAGAATTTCGTGTAAGACTGAAGAAACATTCTAGCGACAAGTATTCTCAATATTATCAAACCGACATCAATTCACAAGAGATTAATCAGGTGGAAGTAGAAACTTCACCGTCCACTACTATGAACATTGAAACCGAGCTACGTAACTTATTGAGAAGGAAAACTGACATTGAGAACGGACCAGTGTACATGGTGAGATATGCAAAGAACCATGCAGATAATACCATGGCCAGAGTATGGATTCTTCTGCATGATTTCTTTTTTGATTGGACTAGTTGTCGAATTATTAGCGAAGATTTATATCAACTTTACATTGGAGGCAACTTAAGTATAAACAACAGCTACAAGCAATGGTCTCAAGCTATGAAAAATTATGTGAGCCACATTAGTGAAAGTGAAGTGACTTATTGGCAATCTGTATTAAACACTAATGTGACCATATTCAATGAAGCTTTCGAGGCAAAACAGCAGACCAATATTGACAGAAGTGAGACAAAAATAGTTTTACCGGGAGAGATGACCACATTCCTGCTCAATGAATGCAATAAAGTCTACCACACAGCAATCGAGCATCTTTTATTAACTGCACTTGCCTATACATTGCGCGACGAAATAACTAGTCTTCAAGATAATTATACCATGTTCGAATGTTGTTGCCGAGATTTTGTAAAGAATTTAAACATGGATCGATCGATAGGAATGTTTAGGACAATATATCCAGTGCGACTACAGCTAGCTGATGATAATGATGATGTGCGGAACAGCATAATCAATGTGAAAGAGTACATGAAGGAAGTGCCCAATAAAGGTGTTGGATTTTGTGCAATTGCGACCAAATGCAATTTCGATTATCCATGCGTTTCATTTAATTATCTTGGTGAATTTATAAATGAAATGAATGCAAATGACAGTGGAAACAAATGGATTTTACTTGATGCTTTTTGCGACAACACAATGGACCAAAGCACAAAGGAATCAATCAAAATAAATTCATTCATAATCAATAAAGAAATGCGATTGAACATTAAAACGAAAATGGGAATAGAAAAAACCATTCAATTTGGTAAAGCATTCCAATTGAATATTGAAAAGACTATTAAGCATACTCAGTCAGTAAATCGTAGCTATTTGACTAGAAGTGACATCAATTATGTGATCAAGAATAATGATTATTTAAATAGAGTTCAATTAGAAAAAGAAGTGGATGCTATTTTCATGGCAAATAGTCTTCAGCAAGGCTTCCTTTACCATTCATTTAAGCAAAGCAACATAGATGACGCATATATTGTACAATCGGTGTCTGAATATCGAACTACCATCGATGAAAAATTTTTCAAAATAGCCTGGGAACATGCGCAAAACAGGTTTAGCTGTTTGAGACTTAGATTTGCTTGGGATGATGAACTAATTCAAATCATTGATAAAATGCAGGTCTTGGATTGGCGATTTATAGACTTGACCACAGAAAAGGACGTTTCAATTCAAGAATCGAAAATTAAACAAATGCAGGAAGAAGATAGAAATGAGAGATATAAATTGGAGACAGGAAATCTGTTCCGAGTTTATCTGATACAGCAGAAAAGTGATCTTTTTGGATTGATTCTCAGTTTCCACCACATTATTCTAGATGGATGGAGTTTGCCAATACTTGTCCATTATGTTCATCAAGATTACTTGAATCTGATGGAAAAGAGGCAGCAATTGTCCCATGTTTCTTCTCCTACTCGCACCGAACTTCGTGATGAGCCGTATGAGACAACACAAATCTATTTGCAAACACATCGCTTAGACAATATTGATTATTGGGAAAGTCAAATAAACACAATCGAAGAAAGATGCGATTTGAGCAGTTTATTGAAACAAGAGTATAGGAATAAGGTGATGATGAATGAATACGACCATGTCAAGGAACCAAAGCTAAAGATACTAATGATTTCTGACAATCTTTATAGAAATCTAAAGAAAACTTGCCGTGAAAATGGGTTTACTTTAAGTACAATTTTATTATTTGTGTGGCACAAAATACTAAACATTTATGGAAACAGTAGTCACACGGTTATTGGAACAACCATATCTGGTCGGAATCTACCTGTAGACAATATCGAAAACGCGGTTGGTCTATTCATAAACACATTGCCATCGATTATGAATCACAAAATAGATGTTTCGGTTATTGATGCAATTAAAACACTTCAGGATAACATGAACGAAATGATTAATCGTAGCAATGTCGACATCTTGCAATTAAATAAAGGAAATATGAAGCGCACTTTGTTCGATTGTTTATTTGTTTACGAAAATTATCCAACACTGGAGAACAAATTTCACGAAAAGGAAACATCACTTAAATGTGAAAACAAGTACGGTGTTGAAAAACTTGATTATGCTTTAGCAGTGGTTGCCCATGAAACAACTGACAAGGAACATGTAGAAGTCATTATTAACTACGCTGGTGAATTAATTGAAAATGACACGATCAATGACTTAATAGACGTAGCTAACCACTTGTTAAGTCAAATTTCGAAAAATGAAGTAGTACAAATCTTGGACTTGAATTTTTTGCCGGAGAACCAGTTTAACATAATTGAAGCATGGAATAAAACCCATAGAGAGTTATTAGAACTGAATGATGAAACAACTCTACATGTACTCTTCGAAGAAGAAGCACAAAAGTCACCTGACAAAATTGCTGTTGTCTATGAAGATGTACAACTAACTTATCGAGAATTGAATGAAAGAGCAAACCGATTGGCACACTATTTACGATCAATATCTAACATTCATCCGGATGATCTAATAGCATTAATTTTGGATAAAAGTGAATTGATGATAATCAGCATACTTGGCGTATGGAAATCTGGTGCAGCTTATGTTCCTATGGATCCTAATTATCCGGACCAACGAATTGAATTCATTCTAAAAGATACAAAGGCAAAAATCGTGATAGCTAACATGAAATATTCACCCAGATTGCAATCATATGACATACTAAAAGTCGAAATTGATAGTCCACTAGTAAACCAACTAATAAATGACAATAGTATAATTTGTAATCTGGAGGTAGACACAAATGCACATAATCTAGCTTATGTGATATACACATCAGGGACAACAGGGCCACCAAAAGGTGTTATGATCGAACATAAAGGTGTTATTAATTTGAAAGTTGCGCTAACTGAGCTGTTTCAATTAAAATCGAGAACCGAATGTGTTCTGTCGTTTTCGAATTACGTGTTTGATCATTTCGTAGAACAAATGACTTATGCTTTACTGAATTCTCAAGTTTTGGTGATTTTAAATGAAGATATGCGTGTAGATAAGCCTCGTTTATATCAATACCTAAATAAGAATAAAGTAACTTATCTTTCTGGGACTCCGTCAGTTTTGCAGAACTACGATTTACAAAGAGTCAATTATTTAATTAGAATCGATTGTGTTGGAGAAGATTTCAGTGAGGTCACTTTCAACCGAATGAGAAGTCAATTTGATGGTTTGATCATAAATGGGTACGGTCCAACGGAAATATCAATCACAAGTCATAAAAAGCTGTACTATCTCGCTGAAAAGAGAGGAAATAAAAGCATTGGCAAACAAATCGCAAACACATCCTGTTATGTATTGGACAAAAACTTGAAACAAATACCAATCGGTGCCATTGGAGAGTTATTTATTGGTGGTATTGGTGTGGCAAGAGGTTATCTAAATCGACCTGCATTAACTGATGAACGCTTCCTACCTAATCCATTCCAGACGGAGCAAGAAAAGAAAGAAGAAACAAACAAACATATTTACAAAACAGGCGATGTTGTCCGTTGGTTACCAGATGGAGAATTGGAATATCTCGGTAGAAATGATCTTCAAGTAAAGATTAGAGGATTACGAATCGAAATAGGCGAGATCGAAGCTGTTCTATCCTCGTATCAAGGAGTCAATACATCTCTTGTCGTAGTTAAAGAGCACAACAAGAAGAAAACAGACATANTAACTGATGATATTAATGATAGACGGAACAGCATAATAAATGTGAAAGAGTACATGATGGAAGTACCCAATCAAGGTATTGGATTTTGTGCACTCTCAACTAAACACACCTTCAATTATCCATGTGTTTCATTTAACTATCTTGGCGAATTTCTTATTGACATGAGAGCCAATGATAGTGAAGAAGAGTGGAATTTACTTGATATATTTTGTGACAATACACTGAACGCAACAACAAATGAATCAATCAAAGTAACTTCATTCATAGTGAACAAAGAAATACGTTTCAGCATTAATACAAAATTGGGAATTAAAAGAACTCTGCAATTTGCCAAAGAATTCCAGTCGAATATTGAAAAGATTATTAAACATACTCAATCAGTAAATCGTAGTTATCTGACTATGAGCGATATCCATTATGTTATCAAGAGTAATGATTATTTAAATAGAATTCAATTAGAAAAAGAAGTTGATGCCATCTTCATGGCAAATAGTCTTCAGCAAGGCTTTCTCTATCATTCATTTAAACAAAGCAATGTAGATGACGCGTATATTGTACAAATAGTATCTGAATATCGAACTGCTATCGATGAAAATCTTTTTAAAATGGCTTGGGAGTACGCTCAAAACAGATTCAGCTGTTTGAGACTTAGATTTGCTTGGGAAGATGAACTTGTTCAAATTATTGATAAAGTGCAGCCATTAGATTGGCGATTTATAGACTTGACAATGGAAGACGATGTTTCAATTCAAGAATCGAAAATTAAAGAAATACAAGAAAAAGATAGAAATGAAAGATATAAGTTGGAAAGAGGAAATCTCTTTCGTGTCTATTTGATAAAACAGAAAAGTGAACTTTATGGAATGATTCTTAGTTTTCATCACATTATTTTAGATGGATGGAGCTTACCAATACTCGTCCATTATGTTCATCAAGATTATTTGAATTTGTTGGAAACAAAACGGCAATCGACCCATTCTTCTTCTCTCACTTGTTCTGGAGTTCGTGATGAAACTTATGAGAATACACAAATCTATTTGCAATCACATCGCTTAGACAATATGGATTATTGGAAAAGTCAAATGAATACAATTGAAGAAAGATGTGATTTCAACAGTTTATTAAAACAAGAATATAGAAATAAGATGATACTCAATGAATATGATCATGTGAAGGAACCGAAACTAGCGATACTAAACATTTGTGACGATTTATATAGGAACATGAAGAAAACTTGCCGTGAAAATGGATTTACTTTAAGTACGATTCTATTATTTGTTTGGCACAAAATACTAAACATTTATGGAAACAGTAGTCAAACAGTGATTGGAACAACCATATCTGGCCGACATATACCTGTTGACAACGTTGAAAACGCTGTTGGTCTATTCATCAACACTTTACCGTCGATTATGAATCACAAAATTGATATTTCAGCTATAGATGCAATTAAAACACTTCAGAATAACATGAACGAAATCATTGTTCGCAGTAATGTAGACATAACGCAATTAAACAATGGAAGCTTCAAAAGAACTTTGTTCGATTCTTTGTTTATTTATGAAAATTATCCAACACTAGAGAACAAATTTTCCGACAAGGAAACATCACTTAAATTTGAAACAAAATATGGTGTCGAAAAACTTGATTATGCCTTAGCAGTGGTTGCCCATGAAATAATTGACAAAGAACATGTAGAAATCGTTATTCACTATGCCGCTGAATTAATTGAAAATGACACGATCCATCACTTAATCGATGTAGCTAAACATTTGTTAAGTCAAATATCCAAATCTGATGTAAGAAAAGTTTCAGAGTTGAACTTGTTGCCAGAAAATGAGTCGATCATTATTCAAGAATTGAATAACACACTAAGAGAGTCGGTAGAACTGAACTGCAAAACAACTTTAGATAAACTCTTCGAAGAAGAAGTAGAAAAGTCTTCTGAAAAAATTGCTGTTGTCTACGAAGACATACAACTTTCTTATCGACAATTGAATGAAAAAGCTAATCGATTAGCACACTATTTACGATCAATATCTAATATTCATTCAGATGATATAATAGCATTAATTTTGGATAAAAGTGAATTAATGATAATCACAATACTTGGAGTATGGAAATCTAGTGCAGCATATGTTCCTATTGATCCTAATTATCCAGATGAACGAATCAAATTTATTCTAGAGGATACAAAGGCGAAAATCATGATATGTAATACAATATATTCATCTAGATGCGATTCATATGATATTGTAAAAGTCGAAATTGATAGTTTATTGGTTAACGAAGTACTAAATGAGTCTAGTATGAATTATAATCTCGAGATTGACACAAATGTATGTAATCTAGCTTACGTTATATATACATCAGGAACGACTGGACGACCAAAGGGTGTTATGATAGAACATAAAAGTATAGTATCTCTCAGAAATGATATAAAATTTAGACATTTTCCTCACATGGAAACCAATCCTATACCTCAAAATATTCTGTTTTTTTCAAATTATGCATTTGATGTTTCAATTGAACAATTAGCACTGTCGATACTCAGTTCGAATACGCTTATTATTTTACCTAGTAACTTCACTATTGACGAAAATTTCTATGCATATTTGAATAAAAATCAGTTAACATATTTGAGTGGAACACCTACTCAGATGACACAAATCGATTTTACACAACTTAAATACTTGGAAACAATAACACTAAGTGGTGAACCTTTGAGTGAGAAAACTTTCAAAAAAATGCGAAAGGAATCTTCTGCAAAAATAGTCAATTGTTATGGAATTACTGAAACAACTGTGTATAACATGGCATTTTGCTATCAGAATCAGATGGCATACAAAAATTCTCTTGGAACGTATCTCTCGAATACCAAGAGGTTTGTGTTTAATGAAAAGATGCAATTACTACCAACATATGCTATAGGTGAACTTTACTTGACTGGTAATTGTCTATCAAGAGGCTATCTTAATCGACCTGAATTGACAGCTCAACGATTTTTACCGAATCCATTTCAGACGAAAGAAGAAAAGAAACAAAGAATAAATGAACGAATTTATAAATCAGGAGATTTAGTTCGTTGGTTACCAAATGGTCAACTTGAATACATTGGCAGAAATGATTTTCAAGTAAAAATCAGAGGATTGAGAATTGAACTAGGTGAAATTGAAGCTATTTTATCGTCGTATCAAGATGTGAAACAATCTGTAGTTATTGTGCGAGAATCGAAGTATTTAGATGCCGAAGGTACAAATCGAAAATATACTATTGGATATTTTGTATCCCAATCGATTCTATTGGAATCTGATATAAAACGTTATATGCAAAGCAAACTACCAGATTATATGATACCTAATCGATTGATCCAAATAGTTAATATTCCAGTAACTACTAATGGCAAAATAGACTTGAAATCTTTACCTGAAATTGATTCGTCGAAGTACGATGAAAATTCGTTTTCTCCTCCTCGAAATGATCTCGAAAGGAAAATTCTTCGAATATGGGCAGATTTATTATGCATACCAGTCGCCAATATAAGTACTCATGATGATTTTTTTGGTTTAGGTGGTGATAGTATCTTAGTGATGAAACTAGCAATTAGGCTCAGTAATCTCTTATCCACGAAAGTGAGTATTAGTACTGTATTCGCAAACAAAACAATCGTGAGTCTTGCATCACACATTCTTCACGATCTTGATTATGATTCGGAGAAAAATATGCATATCCTGAAAATGCATGCAGATTCCTCAACTGATCCAAATTACAGTTTATCGTTTGCACAAGAAAGACTTTGGTTTATAGATCAGTTTCATGATCAGAGCGGCAATAATGCTTATAATATACCGATATACTTACGATTTATGAATAATAATATTCGAAGAGATGTACTGTATCAATCTTTGCGTGCTATTTTGAGTAGGCACGAAATACTAAGGACATTAATACAAGAAGATAGATCTGGAGTTTTTTATCAACATCTACTCAACGAAGAAGAAACCGATACATTATTTAAAATAGATGAAGTGCAGGTTATCCATAAAGAGCAATTGGATTGGGAACTAAATAAATTGGCTCAATATGTTTTTAATCTTAGAAAAGAACTGCCAATTAAAGTTACATTTTACGAAATGAGAAATACAGATGAAGATGAGAAAACAACATTCTACATGGGAATAGTCATTCATCACATCGCGTTCGATGGATGGTCTTTGAGTATATTTTGGAGAGAATTGCAAATATTTTATGATCATTTTCAGAAAAAGACACCAATTTCTGGTAATAATAATACTATATCTGATCGAACTGTGAACTTACCAATACTGCCGGCACAGTACAAAGATTTCGCAGCATGGCAAAGAGAATATTTAAGTGGACAAACACTACTTGATCTATCTGAATTCTGGAAAAAGAAATTAGATGGATTTGAAATGTTGAATTTGATGGTCGATTGTGCTGTGAGACCTTCCATTTATGACTATAGTGGAGATGAGATCGTCTTCGAATTGGATGAACAAGTTACAAACAGATTGAAGGCACTAGCAATGAGACTAAATGTTAGTCTGTTTAGTCTACTTTTAAGTGCTTATGCATTGATGCTAAGTATATATGCAAACCAACAAGATATCATCATTGGAACACCAGTTGCCAATCGAAACCAACCAGAACTAGAAAATCTAATTGGATTCTTTGTTAATGTGATTGTTTTGAGAATACAAATTGATTCAAAAGATTTGATACAAGAGTACATAAAGAAAGTAAGCAACGAAGTAATAATAGCACAAAGTCATGAAGACATGCCCTTTGAACAATTAGTGAAAGAACTTCAACTCGAACATGATACAAGTCGACACCCTATTGTGCAAGTTGTATTTTTGATGAATAAATCTATCGACTTCACAATAACTTCGATGAATAGAGACGCGCAAATACCAAGTCCTTTGACTATTTCCGAATATTTTCCGAATTGCGATGATTTCACGGTAGCAAAATATGATATTACGACTTCTCTTGATGATACAACAAGTTCTTTAAAAGGCACATTCAATTTCGTGAAAAAGCTTTTCGATCGAACAACAATTGAATATTTTATTGAAACATTTATTCATATTCTAACTCAATTTTCACAAATTGATGAAACACATAAAATAATAGACATCAAATGCACTGATTCCTTGCGACAAAATCAAATGAAGCAATTTGATAATATGCACCTGGTTTCCAGAGATGTACCCAAGGAAACAACTTTATATAAACTATTTGAAGAAGAAGTAGAAAAGTCCTCTGAAAAAACTGCTGTTGTCTACGAAGACATACAACTTTCTTATCGACAATTGAATGAAAAAGCTAATCGATTAGCACACTATTTACGATCAATATCTAATATTCATCCAGATGATATAATAGCATTAATTTTGGATAAAAGTGAATTGATGATAATTAGCATACTTGGAATATGGAAATCTAGTGCAGCATATGTTCCTATAGATCCTAATTATCCCGACGAACGCATCATATTTATTTTGAAGGATACAAAGGCAAAAGTCGTGATATGTAATACGAAATATTCATCGAAATGCGATTCATATGATATTGTAAAAGTCGAAATTGATAGTTTATTAGCTAAGGACGTACTAAATGATACTAATATGACTCGTAATCTGGAGGTCGATACAAATGCAAAAAACCTAGCTTATGTGATATATACATCTGGAACAACCGGAGCACCAAAAGGAGTATTAGTGGAGCATCAGAGTGTTATCTCATACAGGAATGACATAAAATATAGATATTTTGGTGATATGAATAAGTTTACAACCGAGCATAGCATTCTGTTTTTTTCAAATTATGTATTCGATTTTTCGATTGAACAATTGGCTTTGTCTATACTAAGTTCCAATAGACTTGTCATACCGCCAGGTAATTCAATGATCGATAATAAATTCTACATATATTTGAATAAAAATCGACTGACGTACATAAGTGCAACACCTAGTCAAATGGAGCAAATCGATCTAACGCAACTTAAATATCTGAAAATAATCACCCTAGGTGGTGAGACAGTCAGTGCAGGAGTCTTCGAAAAAATTAGTCGCCAGTTTCATGGAAAAATATTCAATGCTTATGGAATAACTGAAACAACTGTTTGCAATATGATTTGCTGCTATGAAAATCAAATGGAGTACAAAAACTTAATAGGCACTCCTTTGTCTAATACCAAAGCCTTCGTACTTAATAAGGATATGCAAGTGTTACCAATGCTTGCTATAGGTGAACTTTACTTGACTGGTAATTGTCTATCAAGAGGCTACCTTAATCAACCTGAATTGACAGCTCAACGATTTTTACCGAATCCATTTCAGACGGAAGAAGAAAAGAAAGAAGGAAAGAACGAACGAATTTATAAAACAGGAGATTTGGTACGTTGGTTACCAGATGGTGAATTTCAATATCTTGGTAGAAATGATTATCAAGTCAAGATCAGAGGTTTAAGAATTGAATTAGGTGAAATCGAAACCATATTATCGTCATATCCAGGTGTGAAGCAATGTGTTGTTCTTGTAAAGGAACACAAGAAGCAGGAAACAGAGACATCATCAACAAAATATCTTGTTGGATATTATGTTTCTNAAAGATCGTGATAAGTAACATGAAATATTCATCTAGACTATATTCATATAATATAGCAAAAGTTGAAATTGATAGTCCAATAGTAAACGAAGTCTTAAACAATACCAATATAACTTGTAATCTTGATGTTATCACAAATGAACGTAACTTAGCTTATGTTATATATACATCAGGAACAACGGGAGCACCAAAAGGTGTATTAGTGGAACATCAAAGTGTGGTATCCTTCAGAAACGACGTAAAGTATCGGTACTTCAGCGCAAACGAAGATAATCATGCGCCTGAAGTTATTTTGTTCCTATCGAATTATGTATTCGATTTTTCGATTGAGCAAATTGTGCTCTCCATATTGAGTTCAAATACACTCATTATAGTGGGAAATCATTTTCCAATTGACGAGAGTTACTATGCTTATTTAAATAAAAATCGACTAACATATATCAGTGGAACACCGACTCAAATCGAACAAATGGATCTTGCTCAGCTTAAACATATAGCAACAGTAAGCATTGGTGGTGAAGTGTTCAGTGCGAGAGCATTCGAGAGGATTCGAGGGCAGTTTGGTGGTAAAATATTCCATGTTTACGGAATCACTGAGACAACTGTTTATAATATGGTGTTTGACTATCAAAACGATACACAATATAAAACTTCAATTGGGTCTCCATTGTCGAATACAAAGGGTTTCGTACTTAATAACGATATGCAATTGCTACCATTGTTTGCTGTGGGTGAACTTTACTTGGCTGGTAATTGTTTATCCAGAGGCTACCTCAACCGACCCGAGTTAAAAGCTGAAAGATTTTTACAAAATCCATTTCAGACAGAAGAAGAAAAAAAAGTAGGAAAGAACGAACGAATTTATAAGACAGGAGATTTAGTTCGTTGTCTACCAGATGGTCAACTCCAATATGTTGGTAGAAATGATTGTCAAGTAAAGATCAGAGGATTAAGAATTGAACTAGGTGAAATTGAAGCTGTTTTATCATCTTATCAAGGTGTGAAGCAATGTGTAGTTGTTGTGAGAGATAGCAAAGATTTAACTGCAAGTGGCACTTGCCGAAAATATATTATTGGATATTTTGTTTCCCAATCAATTCTTTTGGAATCTGATATAAAACATTATATGGAAAGCAAATTACCAGATTATATGGTACCAAATCGACTCGTACAAATAGAAAATATTCCGGTAAATACGAGTGGTAAAATAGATTTGAAGGCTTTACCTGAGGTCGATTTCTCGAAGCACCATGAAGAGTCGCTTGTTCCTCCGCGAGATGACCTCGAATGGAAAATTCTTCATATCTGGTCACATTTATTAGGAATACCCAGCACCAATATAAGTGTCCACGATGATTTTTTTGGTTTGGGTGGAGATAGTGTCTTACTAATGAAAGTGGCACTTATGCTGAGTAATGTGTTATCGACAAAAATAAGTGTTAGTGCTGTATTCGCAAATAAAACAATCGAAAGCCTTACGACACATATCCTTCATGGCCTTGATTATAATTCAGAAGAGAATAACCTCATAGCAAAATTGCGTGATGATTTTTCAACTAATCGAAACTATGTATTATCGTTTGCACAAGAAAGGCTACTATTTATTGATCAGTTTCATGGTAAAACTGGCAATAATGCTTATAATATACCGATATACCTACAAATTACCGATAATAATATCAAGCGAAATGTGTTGCATCAGTCTCTACGTGCCATTTTGAATAGACACGAGACACTAAGGACCCTAATAGAAGAAGATAAATCCGGAGTTTTTTATCAACATATACTCAAGGAAGAGGAAATCGATGCATTTTTCAAAGTAGATGAAATTCAAGTTACTAATACAGAGCAGCTGGATACTGAACTAAATAAATTGGTTCAATATGTTTTTAATCTTAGAAAAGAACTGCCAATTAAAGTTACATTTTACGAAATGAAAAACACAGATGAAGATGAAGAAACAACGCTCTACATGGGAATAGTCATTCATCACATCGCTTTTGATGGTTGGTCTTTGAATGTATTTTGGAAGGAATTGCAAACATTTTATGATTACTTTGATAAAGATATCTCGAGTTCGGGGACAAATACTATATCTGATCGAACTTTGAAGTTACCAGAGCTTCCTGTGCAATACAGAGATTTTGCACTATGGCAAAGAGAATATTTAAGCAGAACAAGATTGTTTGATCTATCTGAATTCTGGAAAAAGAAATTGGATGGCTATGAAATGTTGAACTTAATGCTGGACTGTCCTGTCAGACCATCTCTTTATGACTTTAGTGGAGATGAAATCCCCTTTGAATTGGACGAGCAAGTTACGAAAAGATTAAAAGCATTAGCAATGAGACTAAACGTAAGTCTATTTAGTCTACTGTTAAGTGCTTATACGCTAATGCTGGCTATATACACAAACCAACAAGATATCATCATTGGAACACCATTTGCAAATCGAAATCGTCCGGAACTCGAAAATCTAATTGGGTTTTTCGTCAACATGCTCGTTTTGAGAATACAAATTGATTCAAAAGATTTGGTACATGAGTACATAAAGAAAGTAAGCAACGAAGTAATACTGGCACAAAGTCATGAAGACATGCCTTTTGAGCGGCTCGTTAAAGAGTTAGAAATAGATAATGATACAGGTCGACACCCGATCGTTCAAGTTGTATTTTTGATCAATAAACATATTGACTTTGAAGTAACTTCAAGCTATAAGAACATAGAAATGCAAAGTCTTCTTCCTCTTTCACAATATGTTCCAAATCGTTATGATTTCACGGTAGCAAGATATGATTTTACGACACTGATTGATGAGGAAAAAGGCTCTTTAAAGGGGACATTTAATTTTGCAAAAAAGCTTTTCCATCGAACAACGATTGAGAGTTACATTCAAACTTTTCTTCATATTTTGGCACAATATGCAATAATACATGAAACATGCAAAATATTAGATATGGAATGTATTCCTCCATCGCAAAAAAATAAACTCAAACACTCTGAGAACATGCATACGGCTTTTGGAGATTTCACCCATGACGTAACTTTGCATAAGCTATTCGAAGAAGAAGCAAAACTATCACCTGATAAAATTGCTGTTGTCTATGAAGACGTTAAGCTTACTTATCGAGATTTAAATGAAAAAGCTAATCGATTGGCACACTATTTACGATCAATCTCAAATATTCATCCAGATGATATAATAGCATTAATTTTGGATAAAAGTGAATTAATGATAATTAGCATACTTGGAGCATGGAAATCTGGTGCAGCATATGTTCCTATAGATCCTAATTATCCAGATGAACGAATCAAATTTATTCTAGAAGATACAAAGGCAAAGATCGTGATAAGTAACATGAAATATTCATCTAGACTATATTCATATAATATAGCAAAAGTCGAAATTGATAGTCCAATAGTAAACGAAGTCTTAAACAATACCAATATAACTTGTAATCTTGATGTTATCACAAATGAACGTAACTTAGCTTATGTTATATATACATCAGGAACAACGGGAGCACCAAAAGGTGTATTAGTGGAACATCAAAGTGTG